CCTAAGCAGAATCCCGACACCCTGACCCTGGCCCCCGAACCCTTTCACCTTAGACCTCACATCATATCTTAACCTTTTAACCCTAACGCCCCGACTCTAACTGTAAAACCCTCACACTAACACCCGAACCCGAACACCGCATCTGAATCCTGACGCCCTAACCCTAATACCCTCGCGCACTAACCCTGACCCGAACTCGAACACAGAAACTTAAACCATAATTCCATGATGTCCGCAGAGTCTAAAACTGAAGTGCCAGAAAGTCCTAAGACAATACCCCCATAAGACCACAATTTCCCAAACTGATATAGCAATAGTGCAATATTACAATACAGCCCCATGGCAGCAAATATATAAAACCTAGAAAGGCCTACGTGCGCAATTCCCTCACACACACGACCCCGAGACACTGAAGCTCAAAAATCATAGGACTCCAAGCTCCTAAGACCAGAATGCCCTAGGACGATCCCGCTCGCAGTTGAATCAAATCCAGAAGAGCGTCGAGGCCCCCGGGGAAAACACAACACATATCTGACCCCAGAATTCCGAACTCGTTCCACGCGACCATGACCGGACAACCTCGTCGGCGACGGCTTTTAGCTTACGTGAAGCTCAGCGGATGACTCAGGCGAAAGTGCCCAGAACACAATAGACGCAAGGTCAGAGATATTTCTCACAAAGTGGTTAAGATGCCTCAGGGAGCACCTAACTTAACAACATGGCGTGCAGCATATTCGAGTGCCTCCGAGCTTCGTAGACACCTCAAGCGAAAATTGCTGGACAATCTCACGCGCGGCACGTCCCAAACAAAACTGGCTAGACCACATCAAGTCTGAGAGCATCTAGACCCAGAGGTGCGAAGATGTCGCAGGCAAAGCTGGCGTGACTACCTGAAGCCTGGAATCTCCTGGCCCAGAGGTGCAAGGGTGGCTCGAGCAAAAATGAACACCTTCTTGGGGCCTCCTGGATAGTCGAGGGCCCCTCTGAAGCCGTCTTGGAGGCCTCTGGGAACTCTCTTTGGCCGTCTTGGGGCGATCTTGTCGGCTCCTGGGGCCGTCTTCGACGCGGTCGACGCCGAAGCGGTGAACATCGAAAAAGTGCACGTTTTCCAAAGGGAATGGCGCCATTTTTGCTTCTGGAGGCGCTCTTGGGAGTCCTCTTGGGGGACTCTTGGGCCGTCGTGGGGGCTCCCGGAGGCCGTCTTGGAGCCATCTTCGGCGTCTGGAGAGAGGGGAGGGGGCCAGGCGAGAGAAGGGAGGGGGGAGGGACAGGAGAGAGCGGGGGGAGAGGAGGGTGGGTGGACAGGAGAGAGGGGAGGGGAGGCGGGACAGGAGAGAGAGGGGTGGGGTTGTGGGGACAGAAGAGAGGGGGGGGGGGGAGATACAGGAGAGAGGGCGGAGGGGACAGGAGAGAGGAGGGGAAGGCTGCAGAGGGGGCAGAGAGGGCTCTAGAGCTCGCTCAAGCTTCGCTCTGCGAGGGAGGGGGGGGAGGGCGGGGACCTCATTAACTGTTGACTTTAGTGCTCGGCATCTCCCCCCCTGCCAGCTCCTCCCCCCCTTCGATTTCGGCACGCCTTGAAACTGGCAGAAAATCTGACGGAGGATCTGGAATAGAAGTCTGGAGAAAAATCCGCAGATCCGGCGTGTGAGCTCAAGAAGTCTAAGCTGAAGCTCTGCGTCAACATGAGCTTTAGCTCTGCTTGGGGGGGTGGAAGGGGGGGGGGCGTAATTAACTGACGGTTACAAGTGCTCGGCACCTCCACCCCCCCGGCCAACCCCCAGGAGAGAGGGGGGGACAGGAGAGAGGGGGGGGGAGAGGGGGTGGGGGGACAGGAGAGAAGGGGGAGGGGACAGAAGAGAAGGAGGGGGGGGGAGGGGAGAGAAGGGGGGGGGGGGCAGGAGAGAGGGGGGGGGACAGGAGAGAGGGGAAGGGGGGGGGGACAGGAGAGAGGGGGAGGGAAAAGGGGGAGGGGGCAGGAGGGAGGAGGGGGGGAAAGGAGAGAGGGGGGAGCTGGGGGACAGAAGAAAGGGGGGGAGGGGGGGGGGGACAGGAGAGAGGGGGGGAGGAGGGGGACAGGAGCGAGGGGGGAGGGAAGAGAGGGGGGGGTGGACAGAAGAGAGGGAAGGGGGAGGGACAGGAGAGAGGGGGGGAGATCAGCAAAATCTCCATCACCATCACCATCACCATCGTAACATCACCATCATCATCAGTAACATCACCACCATCATCATCATCATCATCATCATCATCATCATCATCATCATCATCATCATCATCGTCGTCGTCATCATCATCATCATCATCATCATCAGCATCAGCATCAGCATCAGCATCAGCATCAGCATCATCCTCATCCCCATCCCATCCCCATCCCCTCCCATCCCATCCCATCCCATCCCCATCCCCTATCCCCATCCCCACCCATCCCATCCCCATCTCATCCTCAATCAATGGGGCGTCCTCATCCCATCCTCATCCTCATCCTCATCCTCATCTCATCCTCATCCTCATCCTCATCCTCTCCTCATCCCTCTCCTCATCCTCATCCTCATCCTCATCCTCATCCTCTCCTCATCCTCATCCTCATCTCAATCTCATCCTCGTCCTCATCCTCATCCTCACCTCATCCTCATCCTCATCCTCTCCTCTCTCTCCCTCATCCTCATCCTCATCCTTCATCTCATCCTCATCCTCATCTCATCCTTACAATCGCTATCCTCATCCTCTCCTCAGCCTCCTCCTCATCCTCATCCTCATCCTCATCCTCCATCCTCATCTCATCCTCATCCTCATCCTCATCCTCATCCTCGATCCTCATCCTCATCCTCATCCCTCATCTCAATCTCAGCCGCATCCTCATCCTCATCCTCATCCTCATCCTCATCCTCATCCTCATCCTCATCATCATCATCATCATCATCATCATCATCATCATCATCATCCGGAGCGCCCCGGATCGGCGGCACTGGCGGGAGGCCACTACAATACACACACACACACACACAAATCCTAGGATTCCCCATGCATTGTGAACTCCGCGTTAGGCCAGTTTGTAGGAAACTACGAAATCTTTTTTTTTGCTCCCAAAATGCTTTTTTGATTTCCGAATCGGATGCTCCAAATATGCTCCTAATATTTTCTGTTATTTACACGATGCTCCAAAAATGCTCGCTCGATTTCTGTGTATTTTTCACGATGCTCTCAAAATGCTACCTTAATTTTCGTGTTTTTTGGGGGATGCTCGAAGCATGCTCTTCGCAATTTGTGTGTTTTTCACGCATGCCCCAAAAATGCTCTATTACGCTGTTGCTCTGTTTGAAGATGTTCGAATGTTGCCCATTTCATCGTCTGCTTTCGCAGCGGTGCTCCAGAAATGCTGGTCCCATGATGAGAGCAGCATGTCTGGGGCACCGCCACGAAAGCAGATGATGGAATCTGGGCAAAATTGGAACATCTTCAGAACGAGCAGCAACATAATACAGCACTGTTGGGGCACGTGCGACAAACGCACAACATGCAAAGAACATGTTTCGATCATCTCCGGACGAAACAGAAAGGCAGCAGTTTGAAGGCATCGTAAGCAGCATACATAAACATCAAGCGGGCATGTTTGGAGGAACGTTTTAACTAACACCGCATACTTGGAGCATGTTTGAAGCATCCTATTCGTAAAGCAAGCATTTTGGGAGCAAAACAAAGATTTCGTCGTTAGAATACGAGCTGGCGCAATCAAACAGGTAGGTCGCACAAGCGGCAGTAACCGTTACCAGTAACCGAATAACCACTCATACTTGCGCCCCGCTACCATGCTCAAGTGACCTTGGGCTTTGCTACTAAGTACTGCTGGCTATCGGCTACTAACTACAGCTACCACCAGCTATCTGAGCTATCAGCGAACTGAGCCAGGGTAAAAACACGATTTGAAAAACATAGGAGGAGACGTATTGAGACGGAGCGAGGCGATGATCAGGATAATGAGACAGGTGGACACACGATGAGGCTAAACGACATTGGAGTAAGGAAGTCAGGAAGTAGGACGCGGAGGAGGAGGAGGAGGAGGGAACAGGCGACGGCCGCGGGGAGAAGATAAAGGAGCATGTAAATAACCAATCGAGGTGGGGAGCTGGAAAGAAAGATAACAAAAGCAAAAAAAAAAAAAAGGAAAATACAAAAAAAAAAGAAAGAAAGAAAAGAACAAAAAAAGAAAGAATACAAAAAAAAAAAAAAAGGAAGAGAATGAAAAAAAAGAGAAAGAGAAAAAAAAAAAAACAAAAAAAGGAAAAAGCTGGAAAGAAGAGGGGTGAGAAAGAAAACGGGCAAGGACGGAGGGCGAGGGAACGAGGGCGGAGGTTGGGAGGGAGCCGTGAGAGGAGGAGCGAGGAATGAAGAGGAGGTGCACGGCATGGGCCCAGGGATGAGGAAGTGAGTGGTGGGCAGTGCTTGCTGCAGTCCGTAGTCAAAGCCCCGGCCGTGCCCCCCCCTCTCCTCCTTCCTCGCTCTTCATTCTTCACAGTGGTCGTCCTCGTTCCCTCGCTCCTCATCCTTCTACTTAGGTCCCGGGTCCTACTCAGTGCTCGTTGTCCTCTCTGCTGCTGCTGCTGCTGCTGCTGCTGCAGCTCCTACTACTCAGCCTGCTGACTCACGACTCGACTCGTAGCCTCTGAGGCTCTGAGGTCACCAGGTCAGGAACAATGTTTATCCGCCTCCTCCTCCTCTTCTTCTTCCTCCTCCTCCTCCTCCTCCTCCTCCTCCTCCTCCCCCTCCTCCCACTCCTCCCTCCTCCTTCTCTTCCTCCTCCTCGTCGCCACTCGCCGCTCTCCTCCTCCTCCTCCTCCTCCTCCTCCTCCTCCTCCCCCTCCTCCTCTGCCCTTCCCTGTCCCTCCCTGGCCGCTGCTCTCCCTGTTCCGCAGCCAGACGCCAGACTGTCTTGAGTCTTGAGTCCTGGCAGCCGCTCTGGCTGCCGTCTGGCTGAGCTGCTCAGCTGAGCAGCTGCTCTGCTCATGTGCTCATGGATGAGCTCACCATCTCGTTGATCGTCGGGTGCATCAGTTGGGCGTCGATGCTTGCATCGGCGAGCGTCTTGAGCTCTTTGTTGATGAGCTGCTGGAACCTCTTGCTCTTTTCAGCTCCGTCGACCGCAGATCTCTTCTCGAATATCTTCATGAGCCGCCCCTCCATGCGGCAGATAGTAGCCGTGGTCATGGTCTCTTTCAGGTCCTTGAGGTGTTTCTGTGTTGCTGCATCTTCATTTTGTTCCTGATCTATGTCGTACTGATCCACGATCGCGTTGTACTCCACGAGCCCTGTCATCATCTTCTGTATGTGTTTGTAGATCGTCTCTGCATTCATGCTCCACATGCCTTTCTCTGTTGCGGCAGCTATCAAGACCTCCAGGTTTGCAGCAGAGTCGAGGCCCTCCTTCCATTTAGCATTATCCACTGCAGGCTGCAACTGTTCAGAGAAAGAATCTAGTTTCCTCAGCGCGTCGTCTGCGAACTGCATGCCGCATGCCTTCACGACTTTCGTGTGTTCCGTCACCTCTGCATCGAACGTTTTGAAATTCTCGATCACCATACTCGTGTCGTCGGCGCCCTTCGACTCGGTGATCTCAAACTGCGGCCGCATGTCGTTCCAGGACTTCAGGGATGCAGCAATAATCTTTGCAACCGCTGGGAGCTGTGGTGAATTTGCGTTGAGAGCCCCAGTCATACCGCGATGCTTCTTCATCATAACTGCCAACCTGTATAATTCGAACTCATCCTTTATGTTCTTGCTGATGCTGGTCCTGCCCTCGAGCTTTTTGATGCACTCGTCAACATCTTCGAATGCTTCGATGCTTGATGAAACTACATTCACTCGGGCTCCGGCGATAATCTTGGGAATGGCCTCATCGATAGGGTACTCCCCGGACTGCGGCAGCTCAATGCCTTTGCAGTTCTCCCAGGCTCCGGTCAGGTTCCGAGCTGCCGTGGCCACCTCCGCCATGTTGGTGAAAGACACAGCATCCAGAACCGCCTGGAAGGTCGGAAGTTACTACTAACTAACTTATTACTTATTGCCAACAACTCCACCCATCTGCCCTCTACCCTACGCCCTACGGGCTGCTCAGTATTACTCGCGATTGACACGTTCAGTTCGAGTTTCAGGGAAAGCCAAACAGCCGACAGACACTTTCCACCCATGAGAACATGATGAAACCTGGTGCCCTTTCCTTGGACAGGGGGGGCAAAGGACAAGGTACGAGACTGTGACAAGGTACACAGGCAGGGAAGAGGAACAATAACAACCATATGTCAGAAAGGCTCCCGCCTTCAAATTCTCGCCCAAATGCTTCAGCCTGTGGCTCTTCGACCTGTTCTGCAGGAGCGTCGCAATCTCAGTGCGAATAGCCACCAGCTCGTCTACCTTTTGGGGCATGTTCTCGATGGCAAGCTTAACTGTGTTCATGAAGCCCTCAAAGTAATCCAGAGTGGTGGAGTCGGGAGCATTGACGCACAACAACTTGCGGCCCTGGATGGCCGCGAGCGTCTTCGTCTCAAGCTCGCTCGTTGCACCCGCCCTGCATGTCTGTGTCAAGACTGGTAGCTTTTTGAGGGCCTGGTTGATGGCATCGAGGTTCTCGGGCTCGACTATGTTGCAGATGGCCGTCAGTTCTGGCAGGTGAGTCTGCTCAGCGATGGTGAACTTGAAAAACTCGCCGATCTTCTTGCTGTAGTTCTCCTCCAAGACTTCCTTGAACACATTGAAGTAGTCCTCGTCGCGCTTCACGCCCGCACCGTCAGAGATCGCGCCGCTGGCTGTGCTGTCCAGAACTATGTTGACGTCGTCCTTGGTGCTCCTCTGAACGCCGGGCGAGCTGTGGAAGATGGCGATCACGCAGCGGCACGCAATTGACGCAGAAGAGATCACCTCGCCGTCTGAGGCTGTGGCCAAGACCTTAGCGCACGCCTCGGCAATATCCAAAGCGGCTTTGTGATTCTTCGCCATGAGTGCAGACAGCATTTTGCCACTGATGTACTTCTCGTCAATGAAGGAAACCGCCGACCTCAAATCAATACCGTCGACTTCGCTCAACTTAGGTTCCATGGGGTCGAATTTTGATTCAGAGGCCGTGGGCATGACTTGCTGCTGTGAATGCTGCGGAGGAGGCTGCTCGTTCCCCTCGCCTGAGCTGCCGCCCGTGCTGGTAATACCGTCTAGGCGTAAGAGTTCAAAGAAATCGCTGTTCTCAGCAAATCCAGCGAAGGATGGTGACTGGCGCAACTCGTTTTCCTTCGTCGCGCAAACTAGCAGCTGGTGCGACTGCGGGAGCACGATCTTGTAGGATATCAACTCCTTCAGGTGCTGCTTCAGCTCAGCCACTTTCATTTTGGGCAAGTGCTCTTTGTTTAAATTGACGGCCAGCCTTGCGACTCTGCAATGCCTCTCTGCGCTGCGACCAGCCTTCGGGTGCTCCTGCATTGCCTTCTTGCCAGCCTCGCCCAACTAGGGTGTCGAAAAGCAAGGGCAACGGCAACGGCAACGGCCGATTGACTTAGTATCTAACATGCATTTCGTATAAAGTATAAATGTAGCACGTTGGTTCAAGGTTCAAGCCTCTAACAAAACACAGTGCTCGCTCTGAGCTCTCTAGGTCGGCTCACGGTATTGACAGGCTCAAAGCTCGAATAAGTGTAAAGACATGCTTGTTTCTTTACGTGTATATATATACACACATCATTATTCGGATCCGCCACCGTACCCTTGGGCATCGGCATGGAGTGGGCGTGCCAGACTGTCCCTGCCCCTCTATCCTCATTCTTGGATCTTGGAACGTTAAGCTTTAGGCCTCAAAGTTTAAGCGTTCAACCTATCTCAGGGTTCGGAGCCCTCCCGGTCAATTCCTGGGCGCCCCGTATCTCCCCATGCAGAACCAACCAACACCTCTCGAAAGACTTAGGCGAAACAGCAACGGTGTGGGGTCCAAAAGGCAAAGAAGCAGCGGGGGGGGGATTAACGAAGCCTTCCGCCCCAAGAGGGCCCCGAGCTACTCGCTATACTCCCAAGTGGCCCCAAGATCCCAAGATGCCCCCAAGAGGCGAACGGATGCCCCTAAGCAACCCCCAAGAGGCCGAGAAGAGACTCCAAGAGGCCCCATGCGGCCTCGAAAAACTACAAACTTGCCTCCAAGAGTCAAGAGTCCCTCGAGTGCTCCATGCCAGATACCATCGAACATCCACGACGCCTCATACCTACAACCTTGGCACGGTGGTGGGGCTGTGGGCTTTTTGGCCGAAGGCCATTCGTAAGTGTAAGTACAGGAACGGGGTTGGTTATGTTTGACACTAGACCTGGAAGATGTCCTTCCCAAGCTTCGCGCCAGTCCTGAGAATGTCATCAATGTCCACGCGATTCATCCAATACTCGACCGCGCCCTTCGGATCCGATGGGGCGTCTCCCTTGGCAGGCGATCTGGCGGTGTTCATCGACACGACCGTCTTGCTTCCACTCAGGCCCCCGCTTTGGATCTCCAACTCCTCGATGCCGCCGAGGTCGCCAGCCACGGAGCCAGCAACTGAAGCCCTCGCTGCGGCCGCTCCCGACGATGCACCTCTGCCGCGACTTCGGCCAGCCGCAGCCCCCCTCCGTCCGCCACCGCCACCGCCGCCACGACTAGCAGCAGCAGCAGCACCTCGACCACCTTTCTTAGACTTGCCTGCGAGCGTCTTGGCATTGCCCTGCTCCTTTGGAACATGTGTCGTGGTGACTACTTGCCCTTCGTCGCTGGCCTCGGAGGACGATTCAAATAGTTCTTTGCCGATGTCATCAAGCTCTTCTCCGGCAGCTTTCTTCTCTCGCCTCCTCTCTTCCCATTGTTTCATCTGCTCGAGGTCTTTGTTCTTCTTCGAATCCTCATCCGCCTTGACCTTGCGGACGTTCTCCTCGATCGCCTGCAGCGTCGGGAGGTTGGCGAATTGATTTCCTCGGAGCTGCTGGATCCGAGCTCCAACATCTAGCTTCATCTGCGAATCGAACTTGGCCCGTGCTTGGCCATCCACCAAGTGCTTCTCTGCTGGCAACAACCCAATACTCTTCGACAAATCGCACTGACTGAAGAAGCGAATCTTGCGGTAGGGTTGGTCGGGGTCTTGGAATACGAATGCTTTTTCTTCTGTGCCGTCCAAATTTCTGTTGAGCGAGATCTCCATTACATCCGGGATGCCTTCGTGGGTATGCAAGAACTTTTTTGTGAATTGATCCGAGTCCAAGACAATGCCATCCCAGTACAAGTAGGAACCCACAGTTTCGGTCGATCTGACCTCTGCCTGGTTGAACGGAGCCTCAATCTTCTTCAGCTTGATCTCCTTCGCCATGTCGACCTTCGTTTTGTGGTCATCGATGTTCGCAGTGTACTTCGTGGCGTGATCCCCCCATGAAACGCCTGGCCAGACATCAAGCAACAATTGCATACAATCTCTGCAGGCCCTGCCCTGAGGTATCATCTCCTTCTTCTTCCTCACGTACGCCGCCCACGTTGTCTCCTGGGTGGAGAGCCAAGAAACAAGTTTAGCCTCAACATCTCGAGCCTCTGAAATCGAAACTTGAGTCTTGCCCATGATCAGAGCCCCTGGGACCCTGCGGGGGACTTACAAACATCGCCCCTGGGGGTAGCCGCTAGCCGGATAGCAATGGGCAAAGTTCGGCCGCTGATGAGCGATGAGCGGATCCCAGGTTTTTGTTGTATCTCTGAGCCTCGCCGAGTACAAACAAATATTCGCCCGCTCCCTCCCTCACGCACTCATCGCCATCATCATGGTTCATCCTCCTCTCCTCCTCTCTCTTCCTGATTTGGTTTCCGCTTCCTGGATGTGTCACACTTCTAAACAAGCTTTGCAGATTTGCATTATCCTATTCTCTCTGATTCTCTCTGAATGTGGGCACGTGCCGCATCCCCAATCCTCGACGGCCCAACCGGGGGGGCAACGGGCAGTCAGTCAGTCAGTGCCGAATCCCCTCGACCGCAGACGAGACATGGGGCTTAGATGGGAGTGTGGGAGTGGTTGCTACTTTTTGACAGATCCGCCTCCTCCCTCCATCGCCCTATACCTTATACTATGCACCCCCAGCCCTCCTCCACACCCCCTCCCTCTCAACCCTGAAACTTTGTGTTTTTTGTTCTGCTTCTCTCAAATCATGCGCCCCCTGGCCCTGCCCTCTTTCCTCCTATCCTCCCCGTTTGGTGTTCGGTGGTCCGTCGGTGGCGTTTTGCAGACATCGCACTTGATGCTGACTGCCGCGCAGAACTTCGTCTTCTTGGAAGGTGGCTCTGCGCGCGCAGCAGCAGCAGCGGCGCCCTCGTCTCCAGAACCCAGCAAAGCATCCAATTCGCTCTGAAGAAGATCCTGGTAGGAGGCCTGCGAGCCCGCGGCCGTCATGGTCACAGCGGGCGCTGGTGAGTGAGCACTGACATCTGAAACATGGCGGGGCCTGATATTTCCGCGGCTACGGATGTACAAGACGTTGCATCTTGCATTTCTGTCATTCGGGTATCCTGGGACCCCTCCCCTAACCCGGATAGGAGCAAACGCCTTTGGGTTTGTTACAAGGGGGTATAAGGTATTAGGCTATGTGGGCTCTGAACGGTTCTCGGGTCCATCCAGAAAAGGATTGGGAAATTTTGCATATTGAAATCGCTTTAAGCTTAAGTTTGAGATGGCCAGGAAGGGGTGGCTGAAGGGCAAGGGAGACGAGTAAGTTGTGACGTTGCAGGGCGGGGGGGGGGAGGAGAGGAACGGAGGCAATCCTGTGGCAGGGTACAACCTCACAATCTACCAGACACCATACTGATCATAAACAATGCGCCAGAAAAAAAAAAAAAAAAAAAAAAAAATAAATAAAAAAAAAAAAAAAGAAAACAAAAAAAAAAAAAAAAAAAAAAAAAAAAAAAAAAAAAAAAAAAAGAACGAAAAAAAAAAAAAGCAAAAAAAAACAAAGAAAAAAAAATAAAAAAAAAAAAAAAAAAAAATTAAAAAACAAATAGAAGACCCCTTTACCTTGGCCCTCTTGGCTCTTGGCTCAGGCTCATCACGGCTCAAGTCACGTCTCAAGTTCAGATTCAATGTTCGACAGAAGGCACGCTATTTAACCATCCCGCATGCGGCAATGCTTTGTCTACCGATGCGGTTCCCAGAGATCCTCACGAGCTCAGCCGCGCGCAACATGTGCGGCCCCAAAACTTTATGTCCGGAAATTGGCTGGCTCGCGGGCTCAGACTCCATCACAGTCGGCTTACTGAGCAGCTGCAAGCGCGCATCTCCAGTTCAGGCTCTCAGGCCTTAGGTCTCAAATTGCAGAGGACCACGTCGGCCACAGGAAACAATTTCTGGACAATTCTGGTTCCCCCCTCCCTCTCGCTCTCTCTCTCTCTCTCTTCCTCTCCTACTCTTTCTCTCGATATTTACGCTCTGCACTCTACAATGCCAGCGTGCCCCGCGTGCCACACACGAAAACAATCATGGGTCCTGGGTGTCCTGTGCCGGGCTGTGGGGGTCTTGCGGCGGCTGCACTGATGGCGCGCGCTGCCACAACCCTGGCAACGGCACTTTCAAAATCATTGACATCATCGCCGATGCAAGCACAGGCAGCGTCATAGCCTCACCAGCGAGTTCCTGAAACGATTTCACATTGCCCTTTTTGCCGCAGGTGATATCCGCTGGGATGGGGTGACCTTGCAAGCGAAGCAACTCCTCCTCGAAAAGGATCCTGTCATGCTTATAAGAATATATCACGCTGCTCGTGGTGGCAACTTTCAGATTCCCCCACGGCTCTCTGACGTTCTGTTGAGAAATGTCCGCGTAGAAATTATCGACCAGTGCGTCTAATTTCTCTGACTTTGGAAGATCCTTGAAACCTCCCGGCGGATTTTTCACACGACTTTGCCAACCCAAGTCCAAGAGGTCCAAGATTCGTGGCTGAACTCCAACGCCTCGCAAACGAACCTCAGCTCGCCCAGTCCACGGTGCGGCATCCTCTGTCATGGACAATTTGGCCCGCATGTTCTGCGAATGCGTCTTCCACTTGGTTCTGTCCTCCCTGGCTGGGCGGGCTGCCTTGTGCAACGGTGACGTGCAATGCAATGGCAATGAAAGAACACCGAACACATTCCTCGATATCATTTGATTGGGGGGGCAGCCCGATTGGGCCTGATCCGTGTTGGAAGTTGTTGGAGGCTAAGAAAAACAAGCGAACCCCAACTTAGTTATTTGCACCGTGGGCCTTGTCATTGTCAAGCAAACGCTGTACGAGCATGGGCTCGCCCTCTTGGTAGAACAGGTCATCGAGCTTGGTCGCCGCCATGAGCTTGCGTTTCTGGATGATCTCCTCTGGGCGCTTATCTGCACAGTGCTGATGCACTGATACATCGCGGCCCTCCCCCCTCCCCCCCCATGAGCCTCCTCAGGCCGCACTAAGTCACAAGAGGGGCCCAAGCGGGCCCCGCGCGGGCTCCAGGAGAGCCCACTTGGCAGGAGTCCCAGGAGGTCAGCGGGGTCCAAGAGGGCCCAACGCCAGAGTCCCAAGGCGTTCTTTATTTCTCTCTCTCTATAGATATGCCATTTCATTTCATCTCGATATATACTCTCTATACATATACATATATATATATATATATCTATGTGTGTATATATATAGATATTTGTATGTACCATTATCACTATATACATACAGACTTCTCGATCTAACGATCTATCTCTATCTCTCTCTCGTCGGGGAAGGCGCATGGAACGGGAGAGATGGAGGCGGCGATCTCTCCGGCAGCAACATACCAACATCAGGCCCTAATCATTAGGCCCGGCCTAGCACAATCATTCTCGAAGTCGGGTTCGCCCGAAAACTAGACCAACGATCAGGGGGCGGACGTAAGCATTGGAGAGGTCACGTGTCACTCGCGCACGGCTGCAACCACTTGTTGTAATGTAATGTTGTAATGTTGCCATGCGTTCGTGCAGCGATGCGCACGTCAGGTCGTTAAGTGTTAAGTGCCGAAGTGTCTGTATGTGTCTGCCCTTGCGTGTTCGCCAAGGGGCTTGCTTACGCACGTAAAAGAGTATATCTGCCCTCGAGTGCTCATGCACCGCCCCCCGCAGGCCCCTAAGAAATTATCAGCACTGGGACCCCCGCTCAATCTTATGAAGCCTTTGGCATATCCGCTCGCAGCCCCAGGAGGTCGGAGGAGACGGAGGAGTGGCTCAATAATGGTAGGCACACATCTCATGGAGGGAAGATGCTTCCAAGCAGGACGGCAATGTAACCCAATCATCTTCTCAAGAATTGTGACAGGAAGTGCCGCCGCATGCGAATGCCAATGCCGAGCAATCAAAGATACGGTTGACAGAAAGACGTCGCAACATTGGAATCGAGATGGTTCAATTGAATTCACTGTCAAGCTGGACGCATGCCTCTCGTAATCACGAAGGTGTGTGTGTGTGTGTGTTGTGGTATAGACTTGTGAACGCGCGCGCGTGAGCTTACAGGCCCGACACACATGTCCCAAGACTCCTTAGGTCTCCTAAGGCTTAGGCCCCAAACCACCCACAGACGCCTAAGGCCCCTAGACACCCAATGACGCCTCAGGCTCATAGACACCCGCAGACGCCTAAGGCCCCAAGACAAACTTACCCTCACAATCATCGTGTCTGACGTGAGGCTTGACATAAGTTTATCATAACGTTCATCGTTCATTTCGTGATGCACGAACTCATGCATACACCAGTTTCCTTGCCATCATTGATCCCCACCGGGGTGATGTTCACGGTGGCTGATGTTGGTAGCAACCATACATCCCGACATATACATGCCATATGGCCATCAGGTCCGAACTACACCCACAGAAGCCTAAGTCCGTAAAGTGCCTCCAGACAATACCCCGACACTCGAAGACGCCCCAAATCCCCAGACGCCGCAGGAAGCCTAAGGCCCCAGAGCACCCACAGACGCCTAACCCTAACGCGGCTTGAAACCTAAGGCCCCACCGAATTAGAATGAAGGCCTCGACCAGGTCCAGCGAGGCCCCGAGAGCATGCGAAGGGACAGAGGAACCGCTCAGAGAGGTCGACACATTAAGTGCACCACTGCCGATGCGTAACGGTGTAACGGCACCACTGAGCATAAAAGCGCCTCGGCGCCTGGGGCTCCTTGAAACAACCCCTCGGGCCTCGGCGAAGAACTGAAGTGCTGCTGCTCCGCCTCGGCCTAAAGCCAGAAGCCAGCAGCTCCGGAAGACCTGGCCTCAGCCAGAAGCCAACAGGTCTTCAAAGACGAATCGTAAACCTCTACCCTCCCCATCCTTTGAGGCTCTCTCAAGATCGGCATCGGAAAACAAATAACGATACATTCCGATACATGAGACCTCATGCTAAGCTGCTAATAAACCTTCCCCCGCTCTGGTTAGCGATTATTAGCCGTCTCGGACGGTGCTGATGAGGTTGAAAAATCATTCAGCAGACTGGTCGGCGTCGTTAGCTGCTGCTGCTGGCCTAAAGGAATCGACCAAGCCATCAAACAGCGTTTGAATCAAACAATTGGGTGTCATCCATCTGTGGCGGACCTGAAGGCGCGTCTGGTGGCATCGCAGCAAGCCGAGCGCGATCCCTGGAAGATAGCTTCTTCGGAGGCGCCTTGGGCACTGGCTCTGAGGCCCGCTTTGGGATCCTCGCATTCGCTGGCGCTGCGGGAACGTTGCCTGCAGGCGCTGCAGGTTCGCCTGCAGGACACGCCGTTGCATCCTGGGCCTCGCTGCCAGGTCTCGGTGGAGGAGGACTGTCGCTAATGTCGATCGTCTTGGTCCACTCAAACTGAGACAAACCAGGTTTCGACAACTTGGGCAGCCACTGCGTCGGCGGCACTGCGCCAGACGACGCGGCGCCACTGGTCGGAGGCACCGCGTCATTGGGTTCGGACCCGTCCTCCGGCCTAGAGGCAGCCTCTGCCGCCAAAACCGCGTCCCTCTCGATGATTTCTTGCTTCCATTGGCTCTCGATCACAAGTTCAGGTGGCGTAGAAGACAACTCTGAAGTGTCACCGATGGGGCCCATGGGGGCTGCGGCAAGCTCAGCGGCGCCGTTTTCCTCACGGGCGTCGCCGTCCTTTGCATCATCAACCTTCGTGCCGAACAAGTGCAAGGCGACAGGGATGCGTGTCCGCACCACTTTGCTCACAGTTGTTGGCAAATCGGGATCACGAAGGACTATGTCGATCTGTCCAAGGACTTCTGCTTCCAGCGACATGAAACTTGCTTCGGGATGGGCAACACATGCGATATGGAAATATGTTCTTCGCTCTCGGTTCTCGAGCAAAAAGGAGCAATATCACGGACTAACGGCTGCTGTGCCCGCGGGGCGTCTAACACATGCAGCGCGGGCAACGAGACACACGCGCA